GGACATGTCCCTCTGCTGTTGGCACATGCAACCATTAACACGTGCGAATTCAAGCAGCTGTGGCGAGGAGCTCGGTGTGCTAATCTGGTGTACCATATCAGTTCAGCATGGAACCTATCATCCAGATAATGACCTGACCCCACTTCCTCGCCGATGTCCGGATGTTCTACATACCCAGGTTGACCTCCAAACCAGACGTTGGACATCCAGACCGTAAACTAAATAGTCATTTGGGTCAATTGCTGTCCAGATCGCAAACTGAGACAAGGTTCCATACTTAGGCATTTTCTGATCATCATCATCAGAAGTTCAAACTTCTCGGTCATAACGTGGACGTCATTTGCAGGGTAACGACGGTTCTATCAGGCTTTTAATACGAGTCGTTTTTTTGGACATGACTCAAGCTCATTCGCCCACTTGCAATCGCACGATATGATTTCGAGAGCTCCTGCGACTTCAAACTTGCACCTGGAACCAGGCGAGGATGAGGTAACTCTAGCAAAGCTAGGATACAAGCAGGAGTTTCGCAGGGAATTCACTCCGCTAGAGGTGGGCTTGATATCATTTCTTTTGTGTACATGACATCATACAACTGCTGTACAGGTATCTGGACTTGCATTCAGCTATATAGGAGTGGTACCTTCTATAGTGTAAGCCGTCGCCGTGACGCAAGCCTGTTGACATCGCTCTTTACTGATAGAAATCTATTTCAGCTCCGTGTTCTTTTATGCCCTACCAAATGGTGGGCCTTTCGCTATGGTTTGGGGGGTAAGCTTTTATCATATATCAAGATTGCTGTGTTGTAAAGATCTCATGTTTCCTCTGCGCAGTGGGCAATTGCTTGCCCTTTTATCATGTGCATCGGGTTGGCACTGGGAGAACTCGCGTCAGCAGCGCCTACTTCCGGTGGCGTACGTCCTTAACCCTGTGTCCGTTTTACACCTGACTCAGCAACGTCTAGCTATACTATTGGACTTACTCCCTTGCGTCTCCACGGTGCCGCAATTTTCTGTGTTGGATAGTTGGCTGTAAGTCTTGCATTTCTATATGAGACGCAGCCCGTCATGGCATCTGCAGATTCGAACACCATAGAATCTATAGCGGGAGTCGGTAAGACGATTTTCATTCTTTCAACAGTCTGGCTCTCATTGTGTGGGATTAGCTTCGGTAAATTGGGCGTGCGCGATTCAAATCACAGCCGCAATCAGTATCGCCTCTGGTCAACCATATGCGACTACTAATGCGAAGATCTAGTGAGCCCGTCCTCTTTCAAACACCCCAACGTTCATAATGATTGTCACAGCGGTATATACGCAGCTGTAATGTTGTCACAAGCCGTCCTCGTGAGCCTCGGTACCAAAGTCTTGGCAAGACTGCAGTCACTGTATACGTTGGTGAATTTGTGGTAGGTGTTGTGTATTTGTCCATGATCTTTGCTTCAAATCCTTCTACAGCCTGTGCTTCATAGTCATTATCGCGCTTTCCGATCGCAACCACCATCAGAATATCGAAACAGGTGCAAGTTTTGCGCTAGGGAATTTCACAAATCGTACGTATCGTCTTCCGATTACAATCGCAACTTATGATCAGTTATAGTGGATGGCTGGCCATCTGGATTCGCATTTATATTGAGCTTAATGGCTCCTCTTTGGACAATAGGTTAGATAATCTTCTCTCGAATTTTCAGTACGTGACCGTGTTACACCCACCAAGGGGGTTATGATGCTAGCGTCCACATGAGCGAGGAGGCTTCGAACGCCGCTACCGCAATACCATGGGCGATCGTAAGTGACACTAGAAAATGAACTGTTGTTGTGTTTACCCCAGTTAGACCAGTTCCATTATTATTGCGGCCGTCCTGGGTTGGGGTATGTGGAACAACGCGTCATTCTGATCTTGATGACATCTTCTCGTCTAGTCATCAACGTTGTCCTTGCCTTTTGCATGGGCACTGATCTCGACGGCATCTTAAATAGCCCTTTAGGTCAGCCCTTGGCCCAGATCTTTTACAATTCGCTCGGGCAGAGAATGGCCTTAGTTTTTTGGTGTTTCATTATCTCAGCCCAGTACGTCTTAGCGGCATGTGGCGCATTGATAGGCTAATCACAAAGCAGATACATGGTGTCATCGAACTGTCTCCTGGTCGGCTCTCGCCAGACGTTTGCATTTGCTCGTGATGGAGCCCTCCCATTTTCACGATATTTGTACCGGATCAATGGCTACACACACACACCAGTCAATACAGTTTGGTTCGACGCCGCCTGTGCTCTGTTAATTGGACTTCTCGCGTTCGTGAGCACCCAAGCCGTCAATGCGGTATTCACAATTGGTGTCACCGCGTCGTATATCTCCTACATAACGCCTATCACGACCCGTTTCGTGTTTAATAACAACTTTAAACCCGGCCCATTCCACCTTGGGAAATTTGTGAGTTGGTCGATAGGGATGTACTAGTATTCCTGAGTTAACATGCCTGTGCAGAGTTTTCCGATCTCTGCGATCGCTGTGACAGGGATGGTGTTCATGAACATCGTTTTCTTCTTTCCCTCCACCCCCCAAACAACCGTACAGGAGATGAACTATACAGTTGTGGTCCTTGGAGGGTTCATGTTCCTTGCGATTTCGTGGTATTATTGCCCAGTGTACGGAGGCGTGCATTGGTTCAATGGACCCATAGCCAACATTACACCGGCTGTCACATGTGAAAACAGAGATGAGGATTCAATGTCGGAGAAGGAAGAACGTGATGCAGAAGTTATGGATGTATAAGTGGTGTTCGCGTAGTGGTCGGTATACTGGAATGATATAGATTTCAACAGGTTTCGAAAGCACTAATTATCCAATATTTCGCAATCTTCTCCGTCTCAGCTCCCTCCTTGCTTACATAGTCATTGGTGTTCCTATACTAGGGCTGAGGCAACAGCCTACAGGACGCATATGTTATAGTGCCATATATGCTTACCATAGAATAGATAGCTACTTTGCAAGCATTTTGTTCCTCAGTGTACTCTTTGACATTTCCAGTATGACGACCCAGATGATCAAAGAAATACATGTCATTGTGAATATTGGTCTTTTCGATAACTTGAAGTCGGCATCTCATCGCGCTGCCAGCGGGGTAAACAACTCCCAAGTCAGTGGTGCGGGAAGTGATTGTGAGGTTTAAGAGGCGATCGATCGAACAAAGTCTGCTCCGATAACCCAAACCACGTCAGCGTAAGCCCTCCAATGGACTACATATGTATATTGCTCCAAGGACCAAATGGCATCACGGTCGTCTAAATCGATCAAGCGCCGATGGTTGACGCGCCTCCATCTGACCCTTCTCGATAGCCTTCGCTACGCGCTTTTCCTCCCGTTGCTTCTCCAGTTTTGCACGAATAGCAACCTATATTTAGAGAGGCACGAACATGAGCATAGATCAATGAACGGGGCGAGTGACTGAGGCTTACCGCAGTGGGATCGATGACGTTCTTGCGCTGCTTCCGGAGATATCTGGGTTTTGGACACGATAAGTGATAGGCTGCATAATGCCTCGCATAAAATTGTACCTTTTGACACTCTTGCCCTTGCCGCGCATTTTCCGCTTCTCCTTCTCCGCTCGTGACTGCGGTTTGTCATTCTTGTCCCCTTCGCCTTCTGCGGCGTCCTCGTCATCATCAACAAGCTCCGTTTCATCCGCTTTACCCTGGATGCGTAGTCTTTCGAGGCGAGGGAGACGACCGAAGGGAACGTCATGCGTGTCGTTGACAGCAGTCGTTAATTTTGTCGTCGGAGCGAGGGATCCGACAAAATCGAGGTCCAGTGCGATCATATCCGGTTGAATCTAAATCGATAGTTAGTCCCTATCAGCATCATTCAGGAGCGAACCATAAGTTGAGCATACCTTGTCCAACAGACCCTCGACTTATCTCTCCCTTCTTGCCTTTTTGTTCTCGAATGGATCGGCTTCCGTGCTATCGAAGTTTGGCTCGCCAACACCAGGCACGAGAATGCTCGACAGACCGGCATTGTGTCCAATCGTAAGGATATCCTGGAAGGGGCAAAATCGTACCGAAGTAAGCGGTCGATGTGGTATTGGGTGAGTGAGGTAAAGTGGTGGCGGAGCTTTTGCCGCATGCGGGGTCTGTATTGACGGTTTTGTGTAAACCTGGCACGCGACGAATTAGCACCATCACAAGCAAGAGTGCGGTAAACCACGTTGACACTTCCACCTACTGCCACGCCTAACGCGCCCCTTGCACTCCATTCTAGCTCTGCGCCGCCACCTCTTGTCGTCCACTCCCGCACAGTGCCCTTCCAATTCCGACAGTCCCAGACCTTTACAACACCATCCTGGCCTAACGTTGCCATATAACGCCCACCGGAGCTCTGATCGACGCTCAGACCCACAACTGGATCGAGATGTGCTAATATTTGTACAGCAGGATGGGGCAGGTTTGGCGTCCAGAGGCTGACAACGCCATTAGAGTGACCGAGGTGTAACACTGCGTTGTGTTTATTTTGCGCTAGTGTATTACATGCGCCAAGCTTGGTTCGATGCTCTGCAACGATGTGACCTGTGGAAGTATCTTGATATTTTAGAAATCCGGTATTTCCCTACTATGGACTGAGCTGGCACAAGTTGATATTGAGTTGGAATAACTGACCACACTAGCGAGCAACCAGTGATATGGAAGAAATTCTAGTCGCGTAGGTTCGATGTGAGCTTTCAATCGGTGTAGTTCGACACCATCACGGTCGTATATAAATACATATTTTTTTGGGCGACTGCAAAGAATGATTGATCCTGCAAGAATCTGTGATGAAAGATTGAGAGTTTCTGCATGTAAGGGACAATTGGCGTACGTGATATCACGACATGTTTCCTGCAGCTGAAGCTCAGCATGCATGGTTCCTGTTTGCCAGTCAAAAGTCGCGACATGACCCATGCTGCCGACAATAGCAAGATGTCTGCCATTCCTTGAGTATCTCGAGCGATATGGACCACCATCCAACTTCAGCTCCCGTCGTCCCTTGGCAGCCTCCTGACCAGCACCTTGCACAATGTCATCTTGACCTATTCTCCACGTTCGTTCTAGCTCGTTCTCCACCTGCATTTTCCCTGCCTCGCTCGCCAATAACAGCTCAGCATCTTCGACGAGTGCTTTTGACCGCGCAACATGAACTGCCTGGCGGTTTAATTTGGTTCTTAGCTTGAGATCCTTGATGTGCTTATGCTTTGGGACATTGTCTGGTGGTGGAGAGGTGGGACGCAGGGATTTCGGCAGGGACGTATGTTGTACCTTAACAAACAAGGAATCCATGGAAGACACCATTCGTCAGGTTAGAAAGTGTGAAGTGCTCCTCGAGTGCTCTCTTACAAAATTGAAAGTATTGATCTTGCTGACTAAGCTAGACTTCTCTCTCCGAGGACCGAGGGTTGTCCGTTGAAGTCAAAAATTCAAAAAAATCATTCACCACTGTCTACGAGCTCTATTCAACGTACATTTCTTTCACAACCTATCTAAAAACCTGCTATCATGTGGACTGCCGAAGAAATTGATGCAGACCATGAAAAACATCGTAGTAAGTACATCCGAGGAACGGCTGACGACACCAGCGCTATTATATTGTCGGACAATAACCGGGAAGGAGACTCCCCCCTCTCCTACATGCAACGTTTTTAGATGAGATTATTGAGAGAGAGAACAGTAAAACTTACATCAAGCTACCTCCTTGGCGCCTCCGTCCTCGAAAAATTGATGCCTTGGGCACTGAAGAGCATGCGAGTAAGGCAGAATATGATCTGAGGCCTGCAATACGTCACGAGAAGGAGCATCCTTCGAAATACCATTCCAGCACATCGAGACATCATGGAAAGGTCAAACGCTGCCACCACGAGGGTCATACTTGTATGTATATGATAAGTCGAAGGTCGCGAAGGTTGTCGTGAAGCAGCAGTGCCGTTTGGATTTCATCAAGGAAAAGGGTGGGTAATTGGGTGACGAGGTGGCACAGTTCTTTGCTGATCCCTGTAGTGAGACGTCGAGGACATACTCTATGGCAATTTAGAGGGTCTACCGATCCTCCATCCGGTCAGCCCAGCGTCCAATGCCTTCCGCTGATGTGTAGGATGTCTGGACTCGGCCATCTCCTCCACTGTCCAACCTTCCTCGATCAGCTCCGAAACTCTTTCTTTCATGTCTTTGTTGATAATGTTGCCTGTACGGCGTCGTTAATGAGTCTTCTGTGAGGCTAGAGCGGGTGTGTGATGCGAGGATAATTTTTCTGAAATTTCCTATTTTCAATTTTTGGATATGCGAACCTGATCGGACGACCCAGACAACAATTTCCGAATGCAACGGCCAGGTGCCGCGTCACGACCGCGTAATTTTCACCTAGCCCCCACGACACTGGTGCCGCACAATCCCCTTTGAGTGCTTGCCACATCAGCTTGTCATGACTTCACAGTTCTTTTCGAGTCTGGTGATTATCATGCATTTGGCTCAACCGTTTTGCCTCAAGTAGGGCATCTCAGCAGCAAAGCGATGAACGCCTTTACGTTCACACTGGAAGGATAAAACCTCTGCCTGCTCCAATGGCTTTGCCTTATTCCCTTCCACAAACTCCATCATGTTTACTTCCCGCTCCATCATTTTTGCACTGCTCAGCTCCCTCGCTGTTGTCAATGCGTGTATACAGTGCCCAGGCTCATTGAAGGTCGACCGTAGTGTCTCGCACCTGTCCAGTACCGGCCCATTCGACCAGTTCACAGTTTGCACGTGCGTCGAACCCACACATCTTCATTAAACAAAGTAACTAATACGCTGGCAGTTACACAAATGCCAAGTTGTCAGGTGGCGATTCATCAGTAGCCTGTGAGTATGACAACGTAAGTGCTTTCTGGATATCCTCATTGTTCTCGGTGACATGCTAGCGATCATCAGGAGACCGCCAATCTTTTATTTGGGCATGAGTCTTGTCCGATTACAGCAACTATGAAGAATCACTGCTGAATGTGATCTGAAGAGGCGGGGGCGACGAGACATCCAACAGGAGGAGTAATGTTCGTCTGCAGACAGCCGGGTGTACACTAGTACTTAGACACTATCTGTTACGAGAATTGCCAAATCAGTTGCATCATCCCAATCCCCTATTAGAATACTCTCCCCCCAGGTGATGGTAAGCGGTTATAATAATCCCGCACATCGGCCTATCAACGTCATGGTAAACAATGCTGTTTTTGATACTCCTCCTTCACAATACCTTATACCTCATCCGTTCACAGGATGATGGATCCGAGAATCTTACGACTGGGCTCCGGTCGTCACCTTACTCGACAGCTTTCCTTCGACAGCTAAATCCGAGTCTAGCCGAGCTTGCAGAGTGTAGTCTACGAGTAGAAGTGTACTAGGCAGACCACCCCTATGCACGCGTGCTGCAGTCCACCGTCTCCGAAGATAGGGCGCTGCTACAACGGGAGGGAGGGGCTAGTAATGCGGGAGGCAGCGGTTTCGAGCCTGCGAAAGCTCTCGTCAGGGGGCTTGCCGCTGCCCCGACCGCTTGTACTTCTAGTTCTACGTAGGAACTCTTCCTTTTAAGCATGTTTGGGCAGGAGTAAACGGTCCGTGCCTTATTGTTAAGGGTAGGCTGCGATAGCCGTTACGGACTCATGACCTGCCTTGAAAAGAAAGGTACACCTAAGGTGGGTTGTCTAACATATGTAAGGACGGAACGGTTGGTCCCGCGCTCTAGACCCTTAAGATTCTGCGAACGACATATACCAATACAGGGGCCTAGCCTTTCGGCGTAGCCCCTGAACTTTCTCGGGTTCCATATAGGTAACTACGTTAGTCATAGACGTGAAGCTGTGGCAGCTTAAAGTTCAGATTTGGCTGCGCAAAATACCTTTTTTCGTGTGGCTTATATTCAGAATTGACGTGGTGACTGCTTGTCGGCCGCGTGATAAGCTCAGTACAATTTAAAGCCAAGCAGGGCCAAGTTAAATACTACTAACCAGTATCACACTCGCGAGTGCACAAGACACCTTGCTGTCAGCTTTTTTTAGATTCCAATTTTTTGTCCATTGAGAGTGAAACTCTATGTAGGACAGTACTATCTAGTCTTGGGACCCCATGTCCCAACCCCGACCGCTGTCAGCTTGGCAAATGAAAAGTTCAGGGTCGAAGGAGGTGATCCTTCAAGTTATCATGGTGGGATGTATGAAGTCGGGATTTATGGCTTCATTCTGGTACAATCGAGAAGAGGAACACAAATGAGATAGAGTCACATGAGACGGTCAGTCTCCCATATGCAGACCATATACGGTAATACCTGGGGAATACTTTGTATCTTCCAGTGTGTTGCATATGAGATTGCGTGAATGTGCAAGTTACAGCCGGTCTGGGTGCAGGTCTGCGTCTGCGACAAAGTCTGGGTGCACGCTCGGCAAGTTCGGCAATTGAAGCGGAGTTATAATAAAGCTCCTATGCGCTCATCGCTCCCCCACTACCTCATCGTCGTTGCCCGCCTGCCCGCTCCCCGCCGCCCACGATATCGAAAGGAATACTGATTTTGGGCTCCGTCCTAACTGGGCGATGTCAACCGTGATGTCAACCTCATTTTCCTCTGTCACTTTCCTTATCCCTTTCAGGTGTTTCTATCCCGCCCACTTACTTGCCCTCTCTCTGTCGCTCGTAACCTGCGTGTCAGCATTGTCCATCTGCGTGCTTCCCTTGTGTCTATTCATGGATCCCTCGACATCGGCATTATCGCAGGCTGACATAGCCTTCTTGTCCAGCATATTTCTCCGTGTATCCGCAGGCAGGCTCGTCACTGACTGTATCCACTGTGGTAGTACTGTTGCTCTAACAATCTGTGTGAGCGACGAAAATGGGAACAAGGGCAAACCAATGGCAAGGGTAAGTCCTCTCATTCCGATATACTTGACATTGTGTTGACATGCTCTGTTAGCACCCGCTTTGCTTGTTCTTTCGCTGGTTTCCCCAACTAGCATCAAGACTGCACCTTATGGCCTTTCTTCCAGCATCGAAAAACTCGCCAACACCTCCGAGTTCACAACCGCTTGCATCCTCCAGCACCACCCAAGCACTCTTGCCGCCTCCTTTGACACAGCCCCCAAGCAAGAAACAGCGCAAGCGGGGTGAGCGGTGTATAGGCTCGTTCTGTGCGCGTGCACGCGCTTTGCGCTGTAGCCGGGAGATGTGTTCCAAACATTGCATTGACCTCGGTGGATGTCACTTTCATGGGTTCGACACACCGGAGGAGGATGTCCTCATTGCTGACAACGATGCTCCCTTCGAGTTTCCTCTCGAACAAGATGTCAGCAATGATGTGCTTGAGAATGAAGAGCTCCGCCTGGCCTTGAATGCTTCCCTTCTCGAGCTTGGCCTTCCATTGCCTGGTGCAGCGGATCCCATGCCTTCACTGCATGACCTTATATCGACCACGCCTCCTAGCACATCTGTCGCATCGTCATTAAGCGCAGCAACCACGCCTCCTAGCACATTTGTCCCCGAACCTTCTAGTATACTCGCACCTGTTGCATCGTCATCAAGCGCAGCCCTTCACGCTTCGACCTCAAAGCCTCCTCGAATCACTCAACAAATGGACCCAATATGGACTACTGACTTGCATGCTCGTGCCAGGCAGGAGGCTGAACAGCAAAGGGTCGAATTGCGCCGCAAGGAGATGGAAAGAGAAGCGAAGCAGCGTTTCGTGCTTCACTGGTATGACTCGGTGCATATTCTTGTCACTTTGCTGGCTTCGTACTCATGTTCAAGTTATCATCTCAGGATGACGCGCCAGTCTTGGTTGAATGGGTGTCTTAGTGCCCTTATTACCCCCAGTGGCAGCTTGCAGATGATCCTGACCTTATCGCATTATTGGGCGAAGATCTGAGGAAGATGGAAGTATACGAGGAACACACTAATCGTTGGATCCCAGCAGGCCTCTCACACACGTTCTCGCTCAAATCAGGCTGTAACGTCTTCATTCGCCGTTATGGTGTATCACGCTGTCGAGATTTCCAGGAACTGTTGAACATCTCTAGACAGGGTACACGCCCTCGTCACCTTCGATTCAACATGACTGGCGAACGCGATGCTGTGCGCACCAAGCTCAAGTGCAAAGACACTATCCTCAAGGTGGAGGGCCCTGTCAACACACTCACCAAAGCAAAGCGGCAACGTGAAGAGAGCTGCGAGGTTGAGACAAGCACTCCCACACGGCCACGGCTCGCTGTTGATGCTGACTTTGATAGTCGACGCGCTATCTCACTCTCGCCCACTCCCCCTGTCAATGTTGACTTTGATAGTCGACGCACTATCTCACTCTCGCCCACTCCCCCTGTCGATGTTGACTTTGATAGTCGATGTGCTATCTCACTCTCGCCCACTCCCCCTCCACTGGAGACTCAACATGGCACGAGGCGCTGTGACTGGGACGATGATCTTGTCGAGGCTGACTTCGATAGTCGACGTGCCATCTCACTCTCACCCACTCCCCCTCTCAGTCCTAATGCACCATTCTCAGTATCCTTGACCACCTCATCGTCATCGTCGATACTGACACTGTCATCTGATCAGTCCATCTCTATGCTGCTCCCTGCCTCGCGCACACGTGTGCGATCGACCAGAATGTCATCTCAACGACACGCTCACACTGCCACTCTTGTTCAAGTCCCACTGTATGACCCCAATTCAAAACGCCAGGTTTGGCCCCATGGGATGTTCACTGTCGATATGACTGCCGGTTTCCACCAGATGGACAACAAGATTTTGCGGGCGACATATCAACAAGAAGAATTATTCCAGCATGTATTTGGAGTCCCATTCGTCAAGGCCACCTACCATCAAAATCGCAAAGCATGGCAAACTACGAATCTAAATGTCCTGGCGGAGCATGAGGCAGCGGGCCACACCCCCGCAGGTCTCTGGTCGCGCTACCTTGCTGCACGTCGAGACGCACTGGGCGAGCAAAGTAAGAAGTCGGGCAGGGCAAAGTGAACATCGAACACCATCTCATTTTTATACATTCATTTTCTTCTTTCTTGATCCCCGCTTTGATTTGTTGATCCCCGCTTTGATTTGTTCCCTTCCCTTGTCATCACTTTGTAATGCTAGTGCATCACTTTCACGTTAACTTGTAATGTAATACAGATTCTTGCAATGTCATCATGATCCTCGTTGTCTCCTACCGCTTAGGGATTGGTTCATGGCAAACAGATCATATTCAGGAGTGACTACAAATACAAGGACAGACTAAGAGTGACTACAAAGACAAGGACAGACTAAACTGAGTTATGAACCAAGGGATGATGCGGTTTTTTACCCTTTGCGAGCAATGTAGCTAAAGTAATGTGATTTCGGCGGATGATCATCTCATCTAAAAAAAAATCATACCTGACAGGCGTCATCTCCCGACAGATATTATGGAATGCACCGAACCACACATTGGTCTGCTCTGTGATCGAGGAATTGAAGTAGAACTTGCCATTGTCATGCAACAATTCGGGATAAGCCCTCATGTCACAGTGTTCCCGACACAAGGTGTCGTTGGCCTTATGCTTTGTCTTGTGGTGGAATGCGTCAACGCACATGCCCATGCCATTGAAAAATTGGATGCGGCGGCTCGTGACTTCACGCAGTGCATTACAGTTTGAATCGTATATCAAGTGCTGTGGTTTGCGTGCACGGGGCAGTGAATATATCTGCTCGATCAGAACCTAGATGAAATCAGTCAGAATCTCACCGGTTAGAAAGACGAAGAAAAAGGCGTACAAGAACATTAGACACAGCCTCGTGGTGGTACATGGTACTGTGCCCATTGATGATCCCGCAAGGATGGACAACAAGTTGTTCATTGTTAGTGCGCTGGCGTCGGAAGATTGCCTTGAGCTTGACTTGGGTCTCCTTGGCTTCGCACTTGGTGGGCGCTTCTTCCGAGACTCCAGTGGACGTTGTGACTGTGGGTTGCACAAGGCGAGTGTCTCCCGTCTGTTCATTGAGCTCATACCACTCATCACCATCTTGGACAGGGAGAGCACCACCAGAGGGGAGAAGTGCAGCCATTGTATCATCTAACTTCGCACCCTTCTGGTGTCGGGTTCGACTCTTGCCAGTTCGTAAGGATTCAACATTGAGGGCCTCCATGTGGAGGTGAAGAGGGTCATTGCATGCTTTATGAGGCCTGCCTGACTGACTGTCGTGGGTGACAGGCCGATCACAACCGTCGACAGCGCATGTCATCTCCAGTTCCTGGTGCGCAGGGTCATCAGAACAGAATCGGTGACGGGTGCTTGCAAGTGAGTTGGTGCACCGTGGAACTGCACAGCATGGGCGCCCCACAGTGACTCCGTCAGTAACAACAACCTCCGTGCGGCTGAAAGTCCCGTCTGGCATCTCAAATACCCGCATACATCCATCACATGCATGCGGAAGCTCTTCCTGCCCGTACGTGACAATGCGCTCAGTGCGCTCACGCATGGCCTGTGCAAACCGATCCTTGTGATCTCCACTATGGGGAACTTGGAGTCGTATGTGGCACTGGTCATGGTCGTCGAGCAATGCGAGAAGTGTGAATGAATGCCAGACCTCCTTCGGCGTCAATGAGCTTCCAAATTGCCATGGTTCATCGTCGTTGGTGACTCGGCGAGATTGGGCAATATCATACAGGTGTGCGCAGTTCGTAGCAGATACCCTGAAACATAGAACAGTGAGGTGCGATAACGAGGACTGAACAGAAATACTCACGGAATTTGCATCAAGTCCATCCAGCTCATGGCGAGCTCGAGCTGGACGAACTGATGCTCTGCAACCTGGAGGTATGATGGTATCCCACCATAGTATGTTCTGATGCCGTCCTTGACACTGTAGTTATTGTGATAGTTCGTGTGACAAACTGCAGCGTGTGGCAGTCAGTGGTGAACAAGGCAGCACACACATGGAATAACTTACTTCGACATTTGAGATGAACGAACCATGCAGGGTGGGCTCCGTCCACATGAGTGAAGATGACTACTCGTCGTTGTTCCTCCTTCTTGAGCAGTGTGTTGTTGCGCCAAGCATCGCAGTCAGGGTTGATACACTTCTTGACGGGAGGATATAATGTGCGCTTAGCTGTTTGTGCTCTTAGCACGAAGCGAACATAAAGGGAGGATCAGACGTACTAATCCCGTGCCCATGACCATAGCACCTAAAGACCTCCTCCTCATCTGCGACGGCCTGCGCCAGTGTGGGTAGGGTCCAGATGAGGTCCTTAGTAATCCCCCATAATACATCTACAGCATCTTCTGAGAGGGTGGCCTGCTCAGCGAGGAATGTGTTTATGGAGGGGGGCAGGACTTTGGGGGCAACCATGACAGATATGGTGTGAGGCTGAGGCTGTAGGATGTCGTCTTTAAGCTGGCTTGCACAGCGGAGGAAGAGGTTGAAGTCGAGAAAGGGCATAGCAGCGAGCTCGGTGTGCCGCTGCATGGCTGCAAAGATGGACCCGACGTTCATGGTCCGTGCTCAGCGTGTGGGCAGCGGCGGGAAGCAGGTGGTTGTGGCAGTGATACGGTATTCAGCCGCTGGCAACTTCAAGCTCCGCAAACCGTGCCGAGTGTGCACCCAGACTTTGTCGCAGACACAGACCTGGAGTCTGCGCAGACTTGCACCCAGACCGGCCATTTCAGACTCGTCCTCGAGATTGCAGTGCGTGTTTTTCAAAACTCGGCCTCGCTACCTTTACCGGCACTTGTATACCTTAACTAGGTCAAGGGATGTGACATGTCACTCTAGCCACTGCCGCTTGATGAAATGAAACCTCAGTCAGTTCGTTATGCCAGGGTCATTCACTAGCCAGGAAATGTGCCAGAATATTGTATTCTGGCGGTTTGAACAGCACAGGACAGCTCTTGAAATATCTCAGCTTGCTCAATGCTCAGAGAAGACAGTATACAATATTCTTTGCTTGCACTGAGACTATGGTCAAGTCACCAACCCCTTTGCACACCGCAGGGGTCGTCCCCACGTTCTTGACACCATCGACACCAAATACATCCATGCACTACTCCAGGCAAACCCTGCCATGTACTTGGATGAACTACAAGAACAACTTCTCACTGCTCGGAACAAAGACATTTCTCTCGCTACCCTTTCACATGCCACTCGAAGGCTGGGAATGACCCACAAAGACATTTCCAAAATGGCTTAAGCTGTAATGAAATCAACACGGGTGATTCCTTCAAGCACGATATAGTCAGATTTTATCAGCTTGGACTTCTTCTTGACAACTTTTGAACCACAAGTGACTGGGCCTTGTGCTTGCAGCGAAAAGTTCATTAAAATTGAGACAAAATATCCAACAGGTGGAGCTAGGGCAATCTCGGCAACAGGTAGAATTGGGGCGGTTTCAGCCAAAGGTAGAATTGGAGTAGTTTCAGCAACAGGTGGAAGTGGAATAGTTTCGGTAACAACATTGACAACTATTGGTAGTGCAGGTGGCAGTGTGACAGGCGCTGCAGGCTCCCGGATGCGATCTCTTTTGATTTCAGGCATTTGGGGGTGTTCCGTCAGGCCCATATGGTAGTAAAGTGCCTGTTGACACTCCCCATGCATGAGATAGAAGTGAGGAGGATCTATGCCTCCATCTGGGAACGGATCAGTGAATAACAATGAACAAAGAGAACATGACTTACCAATCTAACCTCCATTGTTTATCCAACCGTTCAATGGACAACACGGTGAAATAGGTCTGACTGGCTGGGGCACAGAATTAACTTGAAATTGTCCATAGGACATGATGTAAATATCGAGAGGATTTAAAGTAAGTATAGAACAAAGAGACATTGCCGAATCATTCACTTTTATACTGGTATAGTCTGCGCACAGGCCAGACAGGGAGGCTTCGCCAAGATATTGAACTGCAAGCAACTCACTAGCCAGGTCACTGTGAGCCAAGAATGCGGCAGATAGGTTAGAATGACTAACAGTATTCATCTAGTCAAAAAAACAACAGGTCAAAGTTGTTCGTAAGTAGCGAAAGTGCAAAGACTCACATGTGGTGTGTTGGACCGCAGGTCGATGCTGATGGTGGTCAAAGCACTGAGTCACTCATACAGACGCTGTATTACAAGATGTGACATCTAATTATGGTATACAAGTGCCGGTAAAGGTAGCGAGGCCGAGTTTTGAAAAACACACACTGCAATCTCATATGCAACACACTGTCAATGTGGAGCTCCTGATGAGTCATCATGGTCAAATCTATCAGCTACTACTTATGTCATGTTCTTTGTTATAACATCCGACATGGTACAAGTAAGACGAGTGCAAGGGTATAAAACCATGCCACTTCTTTCTTTTCTCCTAAAAAAAGCCCTGCTTCACATCATTTCATCAACTAAATTCAACTTCACGCCTTGTTTGAAACTTGCTTCATTCCATCAACAACCATGGATCATCATCATGAGGGGCTTGGTGTTCCTTGAGCTTCTCAATGGCATACATGCCTGCCATCAGATAGGCATTTACCACCGTGACTTGAAACCAGAGAACATTCTCTGTGTTGAGAGTGGTTCGGGCATTTGTATTGCGGATTTCAGGCTGTCGACCAAAGATAACTGCAGTAGGGAATTTAATGTAGGAAGTTGGGAGTACATGAGTCCTGGTATGTTGACATTCGTGTAAGGTCTTCATCTGATAATATTTTTTATCCTAGAATGCAATTCGGAGGCGAAGAGCTCTCATTACTTGCCAATTTACTCGGACCTCTGGTCATTGTGAGTTATTCTTGTGAACATGGTCACGGGCCGCTGCCCCTGGGAAACCGTGGAGCCTTTGGATCCAGACTTCTGGAGATATCTTGACAACGCCAACTTCCTTCTCGAGGTCCTTCCCATTTCAAGATCTTTCAACAAAATTCTCAAGTTGATCTTTGACATGAATCCGTACTCATGAATGAGTGCTCTTGAGCTCAGAGACGAGATCATTAAACTTAAGAGCTTTTACCCCAGCTACGCCGAGCACTGCGCCACCCCGGACAACGCACAGGAAGCCGCTTGTGGCTATGCTAGGCACTTCGCACTACTGACTAACATGAACTTCCACCTGAACTCAGCATCACTTGACTCCTATTCTGACAATGGAGCCTCTCGGCCTCAGCAGGCTTCTGCATTGGCAGTTCTACAACCTAGCAACTCTGCAAGAGTTGATGATAATCGGCCTTGGTCACAGGCTAGCCTGCTATCAACCTGATCTGTGTGTTCCTTTTCTCCAGGGGAGAGTGAGGAACTTGCTACTTCGGAAACTCACCCCTATGAGCCCTTGACGTACTGGTCTGGGGGGGCAGAAGATCGATGAACCAATGTTTGCATTTGTGCCTGCCCAAACAGGGCCAATGTCCTATATACAGTGGCTCAAAAAACTGTCCGCATGTTTTCACATTTTTCACTATCTATGATATTGTGTGAGAATATACAAACACATCAAGGACATGCTGGTACCACATTGTAGTACTACTTCAGGGCTTCCAATTGAGCCCTATGGCGTGGGAATCGGTCGAGATATGGTGGAGATATAAGGCTTACAAAATGATGACTCATGTGGACAGTTTTTTGACTCAAGTATTTTACAGTGATAATCAGGTATTCCAGTACATTGTGTGACCTCCCTTGGCTTTAATTACTGCCTCTATCCTTCTAGGCATACTCTCAATCAATTTCTGGCAATATTCTGCTGTAATCCTTGCCCATTCCACTGCTACACTCTCCCACAGCTCCTATACTCCTTTAGAGGGGGTTTCATAGGCTTGAAGCTTCTTCTTGGGTGTTCCCCAGAGATGTTCAATGACATTGACATCAGGGGACTGTGCTGGCCAGTCAAGAACATTGATATTATGTTCTTTAAACCATTGTTTGGCTCTCCTAGATGTGTGCTTGGGATCATTATCCTGTTGGGAAATAATGTCTTTTTCATCAATCCCTGATTCAGCTATGCTAGGCAGCAAGTGGTTGTTTAGAATGTCCACATACTGCTCAGCATCCATCCTCCCCTCAACTTCAGCAAGCATACCCACACCATTCCATCCCATACAGCCCCATACCATTAGAGAACCTCCTCCAAATTTGATGTCTCACTAACCTCTCTGTCTGTTAGAAAATCCCTCTTCTTTTTCCATACATATACCTTCCCATCTGACCCAATCCTATTGATTTTGGTCTCATCTGACCATATAACATGCTTCCAATCCTCTACAGTCCAGTTTTGATGGGCCAAGCCAAAGGTAGTCTTCTCTGCCTATGTTTGATAGAGAGAAGAGGCATTCCTTCTTTGTTACTGCCTTGAGATGAGCTGCCTTGAGAACACTCCTCACAGTTTGTGAAAAGACAGTGATGGTGATGGTGGAATTGATATAATGGGTGGCTTGGACAGCATTATTAGCCTTTCCTGTAGTGATATGTTGAATGATAGCCCTCTTATTAGCAGAGGTGGATGTCCTCCACAAGAGTTTTCCTTGTCCAGGTGGCTTTCTTTGATACACATGGCCACAGTAGACTTGCATACTTCAGTTCTAGAGGAAATTTAATGAGCAGAGAGGCCAGCACAGGACAAAGAGAGGATATTATCCCTTTGAGCAGAGGAGATGGCTTTCATGGTGATTATGACCATGACACATGACACATTCTGGTTTATATAGTTAGATATAGTTTTAAGAGTATGCCTAGAAGGATAGAGGCAGTAATTAAAGCCAAGGGAGGTCACACAATGTACTGGAATACCTGATTATCACTGTAAAATACTTGAGTCAAAAAACTGTCCACATGAGTCATCATTTTGTAAGCCTTATATCTCCACCATATCTCGACCGATTCCCACGCCATAGGGCTCAATTGGAAGCCCTGAAGTAGTACTACAATGTGGTACCAGCATGTCCTTGATGTGTTTGTATATTCTCACACAATATCATAGATAGTGAAAAATGTGAAAACATGCGGACAGTTTTTTGAGCCACTGTACCACCCACCCATACCTGTCTTGCGAGGTGTGTGTCAACTCTTTCTCAGAGGAAGAATGAGACAGATCGTCCCGACACCATGTCCAAGGATTGTATGGTGCGGTTCACTTAGAGGCCGCTACTTTTGACCAAATTCTTCCCACACTCAAATTTCATCAGTTTTTTCAATCCCTCTTGGGAAAACGTTCCTTTTGATGCATTGAATAAAACCCCAAGAGCGATTTTTTTTTGGATCAAATTTGAGCAAGATTTTTATTTCAGGACACCCCGAATTGGCGCGTATGTGTACTACTGGTCAAAAACTTGTGCTACTGTGTCTGGAATACGTCTATGAGATTTATACTGTCTTGAACTAAATTGCTTGACCTGCAGCTGCGCGTCCACAGTCCCAAGTCCCATCCTGTAAGCATCCATCCACCTGTACATGCGATGTTCCCACCGCCAGATGGTTTGGAGTGGCACCGATGCGAGTGCTATGGGCATGTTGTCTTTCAAAGTGTCGAATGTATAATCACAGTTGTCACGAAGATATTTCTTCACCTGTCCCCAGAAATATTCAATGAAGGTTCAACTCGCAGTGAACTTCAGCAAAAAAATGCTCAAGTGACCCATGGACTCGATTACCTCTTGCATGAGTGATTTTTGTTCTTGAAAGTCGGCCTGGAGCTCGAGGATGCGCTTGTAGCAGCAAGCAAGAGAATCACTTTCACATTTCTTGCATTTCCCTCGGAGACGTTGCTGAGACAGTCCACATTCAGCAAGCACAGCCTTCATTCCTTTCGGCTCGTTCGGAAACTCTGGGTGATCCGGTGGGTAAACCATCTGTTGGATGACTTTGACGCCATCTCGCATGAACCATCCATCTCGCATATGGGCTTGTTTTCCACCTGGTTTAACATTCATGCGGCTGACGAGTAATGCATCTTCAGAATAAGCTGAATGTCCCTGAGAATTGTCGACCATGAAGAGAGCCTGATATCCAGGTCCATGTGCGTTTTCGAAGGCAGGAATGATTTTTTCCTTGAGCTGACACACAAAAACATATCAGCAAAAGGTTCATTCAATAAATCGCAGCTGAGAATAGTACCTGTTTAACGAAAAGTTCTCCTGTCCAATAACCATCGTAATTTTTCCCATATTCAAGCGTCTGACTCGCTTCCGCAAGGTGTCCAATAGTTGAACATATCACATTGCTTTGATGGATTCCTTGACCAACCCCCTTCTTCCTCAAAGCGTGTTGGTCTTCGAAGACCCAGCTCTTTCTTTCAATTGTTTGCTTGTGCCGTCATTTCGTCATGTGCCACAAGGACCAGCCGGTGCTCAACGTAATTATCAGGTGCGGCCACCAACTCCTCGTCAACATCCCCAACCACAAAGCGGACGAGCCGTGATTCACAGCTTTTCATGAATGGAAGGAAGTGGTCTTGGCGGTATGAGACAACATCTGGGCGATTGTGACCATCGAATAGAGTCCTTTCTTGTGCGAGGTATACTGGAAGCCTTCGCTATGGAGCCATCATCGTGCTGTGCTCAGAGAAATGCTGCGGCCTGCCTTGAGATGAATGCGAGGGAAAAGTTCGTCCTCCATGTACTGCTTCAGTCCACGAGGCATCTCATCATGCACAATTTGTTGAAGGTACTTGTCTGCTGCGCTGGGTATGAGCTGATTTTCAGTGAACCGCGTGAGTTTCTCTGGATCCATCGCCCACTTGTTCAACCGAACATACGATCTGAGTTCTGACGCAATTGCAGGGTCGCTGAGAAGTGAATAGACTTTTGCATGATGGCCTTGCCTTGAGACAG